GGGGTGGGGGGGGGGAGGATGGTTTAGGCACTCTCTAATTTGTATCTCTTGTCATAAATCCTATGCAGGAACGAGCTTATAATCTTAACACCAACAATGTAAGAAATTGTGCTACAAAAGAACTAGATTTAGTGAGGTTGTTTTAGATACCCTTTTTTCCTACGTATTATGAACAATATCATTCATTCAAAGACCATCAAAAACTAGAGCAAATAGGAGGAAAGATACAAAAAATAATGCTAAGGACAGCCATGTACATGTACAACCGATGTCTCGAGGTCTCCTTGTACCCGCCGTGGTACAAGTTCAAGCGCAAATGCGAGCACCACCGAACCCTTACAGACACAAGCATAACCAAACCCCTTTTTTATTAGTACTTGACAATTCATAGATACGTACTTGGCACTCAAGAGGACACTATTTGCAAGTTCAGGCTGACTATCCTAGAGATAGAACGTGGCCATGGGACCGCATGGGCACGAGATAGACCAGTCAATACCGCTAGCAACATATAAAAGTCACAAATATGAAGATTTGAAAACGGAAAACTAGTCAAACATAACGCTTAAGTAGGAGATGCTGTAAAACCAACTGTCTGGGCAGCCATACTTTAAATAGTTCTTAATTTTAAAAAATTTCAACAATTATATATGAATTATAGTATCTTAACTGCTGCCATTTTATATTACCTTTTGTAGCTCTTGTACTACTTATATGGTTTCAGTGAATAATATTTATTAAACTTGGCAAGAATGAACCCTTCCTTCGATAGTGTGCTGAGAGCAGATACTCACTATTTGGCCGCACAGCGAGAAGGGCGTTCAGAAATACAAATCAACCAGTAACTATACTAATCAATTTCTGAAAAAATCTGTATCGGAGCCACAACGACAGAATGCTCCGTCGTACAGAGGGGGCCCTGCTCCCATCCAAGACGGCTGCAGCAAGGACCAATCAAGAACCCACGCTGCTTGCAGCCTTCTTATGTCAAAGAGAATTCAAAGAGATGGAAGGCAAAAATAAATTAGTTTGTGATATTTCTTGGCTGCATTGAGTGTCCAGTAAGCAAACCTGTAAAAGATACTACGTACGGCTCAGCCAGCCCCCCAGTATCTTCCTCCACGTAACCAGCATTTCCTTTAACATACCTCACTAGCGAAGTTCTCTGTCGAAAGCTCATTGAACGAGAAGTAGAAACGAACCGCGGTGAACACTCTGTCTCGCTACCGTGCGAGTAAACTTCCCCATTTCTTGTGCTCCCCTCCGGGTGTCTACAACGAAGCTAGGGAAGGGTTTGCAAGTAATGCACCTCTTCTTAGGCTTCAGAGTCTTCGGACTAGAGTCCAGTGCTTGAATTGGGGTCTCAATATCCTGCGCCGACATGCCACCACGATGAATATTCCTTCCCCATCTGCTTGGCTCTCTAGGGGGCCAATGATCCGACGTTGTTTATTGGTTCTCAGTCCGTTTCTTCTCATTCTGTACCACTCCGATCCCTCTTCAGCAACAGGTTTATACGGACGGCCCCGTGCATGTGCATTTGTTTTTCATCGACGGGGAATCAACCATCTTGGGGGTGGAGGCCGAGCGAACAGCAGCTCCCTCGACGCACTTCCTTCATTCTTTGAGCGGTTCAGAAAAGGAACGAAAGAAACTGAACAGCAGCGGCAGCAGGAATTGCGTCTGCAGACAGACGTTGACCTGTATCGGTTGCTGGGCGTGCACCGTGATGCTCCAGCCTCTGGCATTGCCGCTCGTGCGGAAGAACTGCAAAAACAGCAGCGCGAGCAGTTCTCGGGCGTAGATACGCCGCACTTGGATCCCTTTGTGGAATCCCTTCTGCGGGAAATCTCGGCGACACTACAAAACCCTACACAACGTGCTGCATATGATGAAGGGGGCTATGTCCCAGAGTCTCTCTCCGCCCTGCTGCAGGAGCTGCTCCCTGTACTGCCTTCTTCCAGTTCCCATGAAGAAAACACCAGTGAGGAGGCAACAGCAACAGTTGATGAAGAGGACGATCCGGAGGACGAACCAAGAGGCCCTTCGAGCTTGTTTTCTGCTTTGTTTGGTCCCCATTTTCTTGGGAGCAGCAGCCCTTTTGCTGCTGTTACCGGAGGCCGGCGTGCGTCACGGCCGCAGAGAGGTGCAGACGTGGAGGCCTCTGTCACTCTTGGATTCGAAGATGCAGCGCTTAAAGGGGCGTCTTCTCTTTCTGTAAGAGTGCAGCGCCAAGAGCCGTGCGCGTCCTGCTCCAGCTTTCAAGACCACAAGGCCTTGAAGCCCTCGGCCTGCCGCGCCTGTGAGGGCAGAGGAATGCAGACAGAAGTGAGGCGATCTGCATGAGGGGGCTGCAGTGCAACACTCACCAACAGACTGACTTACAGACCCAACTCCTAAGGGCTCGTAGTCGCATCACATTCTATTTCAAACACCAATGCTCAACACAATCAGGCTGCAATCCGGGTTCAGGTCTTATGTTGACGATTACCCTCGTGCAATAATAAGTGTTAATTGTCTCTCGGCTTCCACGCTGGGCCCTCAAATGCACGCACCTGTCTGTGCACACGTCTGCTTCCTTGCGTATCTCTGTCGCTCTCTTCGCCTCTGTCTCTGTCTGTCTGCGTGCGTGTGCGTTTGTGCGTGGTAAGCCCATGCCAGGCCAGTGCCTTGTTTGTTAAATCGCATGTTTAAGTCATTGTTCCGGTTCCGTTAATCGTTTCTACGTGCTTAAATACTTGTATTTTCACTCCGTAGCAGCCTGGGCAGGGGAGCTCCAGCAGCTGCACACTGTTTATTAGCATTTCTGCTTCTGTTCTGCGTTTGCGGTCCTTCTGTACAGACAAGACGTTCTTCTTTTGGTTTTGTCTCTACATCCATCAGCTGCCCAGCTTGCGGCGGGACGGGGGAGTCGGGGCACCCTGCATGCGACTCCTGTGGAGGTGAAGGCTTGGTAAACAAAGAGGTGTCTCTCAAGGTAGGGAGCCTTGCTGCTGGTTAATGTGATGTTTGTATGGCTATTATTCTTGCTCTCCATGGTGTTATTGCCACTCATAATGCTGCTTGGTTGCTGCGTCGTTGTTGCTTCCTTAATCCGAACGCGGGTGTTGCTGCTGCTTTTGTTGTCTTTCGTGCTGCTGCTGTTGGCAATACGGGCTCGTTATGGTGCTGCCCTTCTGAATATGCTGTTCTCATAGTCCACGGCAATTGTATTGCTGCTTCTATCTACAGGGTTGCCCCTTGCGCTGATGATGCTGTTGCTCTTGGTTGTGCTACTGCTAGTATTAACGCTGATGATTAGTAAATGCCTGCTGCTACAGGGGGGGGCCCTGTCGTGGTTTGGGTGTAGCTGATATCTTGCATCTATTGTGATCTCCCTGCGTCACCTACGTTTACTTGCTAGCTCGAATATCTTTCTGCGTGCTTTCGCTTTTTTCTTTCCTTTATCCCGTCATGAACAATGGAATCATTCCTGTCCAAACGCTACTTCGTTTATTTAATCTCTCTTGATGTTTAAATGGCAGGTCAACATACCTGCGGGGGTCTCAGAAGGGTCTCTGCTACGCGTAGAGGGCGAAGGAAGCAAAAGCGCAGATGGAGGGCAGCCAGGTGATATGTAAGTTTCCGGAAACACCCATTTTATGCATATATATAGTGTAAATGCATATATGCATAGATATGCACAGCAGACATCTTGCATATTCATATTGTGCATCATGCACAGACGCACGCGGAAATGCAGCTTCATCCTTTACCTCGCAACAGGGAGTAGTGCTCATCCCCCCTCTGGTTGCATGGACATGTGCTCGTACAGGTGGAGGCAGTAGTTTATTTGTTGATAATAACCTGTGTGCTGCTGTTGTTGTCAGATATATATCCGTAAACGTGGAGAAACACAACCGGTTTTCGAGGGAGGGTGCAGATGTGCTCAGCGACGAGACGATATCTTTGCACGATGCAGTCAACGGTTGCAAACTCGTGAGCAGGCCCTATTCTGCTTCCGCTTACAGCAGCAAATGTATATATATATATACATATACATTTGATAATTAAGATAATATATTTACTATATATTTTTATGTATTATTGTGCGTGCTGCCATGGGCGGAACAGACAGTGGAGACAATAGACGGCACGGCCGAGGTAGAAGTACCACCTCTTTCTCAATCCGGCCAGAAAGTGCTCATTAGAGGCAGAGGCGCAAGGAGGCTAGATGGACATTCTAGTAAAAGAGGTGACCATATCATCACACTAAGGGTAAGTAGCATGCGCTGGAGCGAAGGCAGGGATATTGTGTAGTAGCGTACGATGCTTTCCTCGTTGATCGGCTTTGTTCTACCTCAAAGGACACCCGAATCATCGTCGTGCCACTTAGTCCTTCATTCGGATTTTCAGGTCGCCCTTCCCGATAAAATTACAGCTGAAGACCGCGAACTACTGCAGCGTCTAAGAGATGCGGAGAAGGGAGGAGACAAATGAAAGACAGACTAGAAGTCTCTCCAGAACACACTGCATCTGCCAGATACCAACTCCGGGCAGGCAGTAGCTGGACGATCTACGCCAGGCTTTATGCTCTAGCTAGCAAAGCCCAGGGAATGGTGCTCCTCGATTGTTTCAAAGGATAAGCTAGTGTGCTCCTGGCATTCATGCCCGAGGGGGGCAGAGGGGGTAGCTAAGGGAACGATAAATAATTGTTTTGGTTTCACTTCATTTACATGGACGCAAACATTTGTGAATTGCTACTCTAAACTAGTCAGCAGCAACGCATGTAATTGAGCTTCTTTTAAAAACCTGCGCTAGCTGCTAACGCTTCAGTGGGAAACCTAGCAGTGGCAGCCACAACGGAGGTGCAGCGACAGCAACAGCAAGACCATGAGCTAAAATAGCATTAGAAGCAGCTTTACCAGCATTAGTAGAGGAATGCTGTAGAAAATTAATGAGGCCATTGCTCTTTCACCTTCGTGCTTGGAAACTTGACAAACTGGACCTTTCGGGTAGGTTGACCCTTGTGGTGTAGGTATGTTTAAATGCAACATGTAAAGCCATCAGCAACTGCATCATCGTTATATGCTAGTTATTGCGACAGCTGAGCTCGACACAAAGGCGAACTCAACCGGTCGCTGTTCGAGCGGTTTTCTCAGGCTTTTATGGTCTCGTGGCCAGGATCATTAAACACAAATAGTATTGCTTCGCTCTTCGTATACGTAGCGAGCTGCTGACATAAAGCACAATGTCTCTTGGCGGGGATGCGTTTTCGTCTATTAGCTCACAGTAGGGACTTGCGGACCCAGAGAGCACACTAATACTGGATAGGCATTCGCTGGTGCACCGGTGGAGAGGATGGACTGTTCCGAAGGCGTAAAGTGAGTCACTGTCTATAGAAGAAAACGTTACAGGACAATGATCAAGCGTCAAATGGCGGCGCGCATTTGGGGCCTATAATACACTCACAGTTGAACAGGAGTTTCCGACGCCCCAAATAATTTTTTTTTTTTTTTCAGATCCCAATTCACTTCACCGACGGGCACAAGACTACATTCAATGCACGCACTCACAAACTATAATATCCCGGTCTGTTCTTTGCGTTGGTGGATATAACTACCGGACTGCAGTGAGCGATCCATTATGACATATCGGGGCCGTCGAAATTGTTCCGCACATTGACGGCGCACTTCTGTTCAACCGCAATATGGGGGAGCAAGCAGTACCTGCGCCGTGCTCCGCAATCGCTACGTGAGAAGCAGCACCTCCGCGAAGTCACAAAAGTGTTCAGTCTCCATACAAGCAATCACCGTCTTAGGGGATTGTCTCTGTTGGGGGAGTCGAATCAGATCTGGAGAAAATGCAGGATATTCAAAGGTGAGTATTACCCCTGTACACTCCCCGCAGCTTTCTCGGACAGAGCGAAACGGTAGAAAGAAGCAACCACAAGCCGGATCTGACACCATAGGCCATCTCCAGCGCTCGTGTTCACTGGCTGCGACTACCTTTTTCTTGCAAGCAACCGGTATAATGGCATGCAAATTTGTCGCTGGATTCGCGAAAAACGCCGCCCGTCTAACGAATAAACATAAAAAAGACAAGCAACTAGCTGCACCGAGAACGGAAAAGTGGCAGGCATGAGCCTGATCAGAGACCTGAAGTCGTCTGCAGTGCTCACTTCCACTGATTTCGACCGGCATTTCCTCCGTATAACCGGTATTATGTATGACACAACACTTTGGATGAAACTCTCGGCGAGGGAGCAAGTAGAAAACATACCAAGTACTCGGCTGTCACTCACGTCGAGTTACGGAAGCCGTCTTCGCTTGTGGAGGACCTCTTAGCGGTACAGTTGGGAGGAAAGAAGTATCGACATTTCAACAATGAAGGAGCTGCTCGGTGGCTCTGGCGGCACAGTGAGTTCTGCTACACAATCAAGTATACTATCAGCAACATAGTCTCTGGCGCAACTCTCCTGTCTTCTGCAACTGCTGGTCCCTGCGGGCCAAGTACATGCTGAACAATCGCCTACAGTATTCACGCATAAAGGTGGGAGCTGTGCACTGCTAATGTATCTCATGCAGCAGGGGTTCCAGCAAGGCGCGTTAGAATTCTTCTTTACGGTTACGCTCCTTTCTGTAGCAGCGCTACATAGGTCATTGGGCCGCTCTTTCCCAGGCGCCTGGGGACTACGGAGAAAGGAAACTGATTTAAATGAACTACTTTTTGAGTTTTTCGGCTTTGTTTCAACTCACAGCGGGCCGTAACTCTACGATCGCAGGTTTGTGTTTCAGCAACTTTTGTAACGACGCAACCCCTCGAGAAACCAGATGCAAGCTCTGTTTTAATGGACTGACCAGCGCTGTACACAAACACTACATGACTAATTCCCTTTCATTACCTAGTTTTCAATCCAGAAGAAATACAGTAACGAAGCTTTTAAAGAAGGTATCACGCACCCCGATACCGGGGGGTTGAGAAGTGGAGGAATACGGAGTTAGGGAGAGTTCACGGGCAGAAACTGTCCCAAATGATCTCTTTTTAGATAATGTTTTCAAAAACAAGGTTTATGATTGACGAAAGCAAGCCATGATCACTAGCTTCCATTGTAGGCGAGAGCTACAGAACACCTGCAAAGATGTATATATCCCGGTAGCGGTAGCGGTGACGGGGTATCGTGAATAGAGCAGAAACATTTGCAGATTCACCCTTAACTTAGACATGTAAGTACACGTGAAGCTGTTCGTTCTATAGTGAAGAAGGTCTTTTCTATTCGAGATTCCGGTTTACAGCTCCTCAGGCGAAGTAGGCCTCGCTCAGCCCCAGCGAAGAGGGTCCATTTCCTTATTGGCGTTTTGCTTTGAAGAATGGCAGTAGTAGTTAAAGCTGTACATATTGATCCTCCTCGAGTATGATTTTTATTTCTGTGGCGACTTTTACTCCTTCTCTCAGAGCCCAAGCTACGCTGTAGCAGTGGGAGCAGCGGGGGCTCCTCGGCAGCACCTAGGAGCGACGGAGGAGAAGGAGGAGCAGCAGCAACTGCTTCTGGGGTAAAACCAATGGTATTCGCTCTTTTAGGGGCCGCTGGAGCGGCCCTTCTTGCTGGGTTACCAGTGGTATTCCCAGCAAATGTGGGGGCCCCCGGGGCCTCCGGCTTATCTGTAGCAACGGAGGGGGGAACGAGCAGCTCCCCCTATTTAAGCGAAATGCCTCTAAAGGAGACGAGAAGCAGCATCTTTTCTGCTCCAGTGCAGTTCCATTTGGCCTTAGCAGCCCCCATCATCGCCCTGCTGCTGCTGCTGCTGCTGCCACCCCCACGCCGAATACCCAGAAGCAAACCAACTCCTCCCGCACCGCCTGAAAAAGCACCACTAATACCTCCAGCACCCCCATTACCACCACCGCCAATAAGAGGAGTACCAGTAGCAGGAGTAGCGGGAGCTCAGCGGGCACCACCACAGCCAGCAGTAACACCAGCGTCAGTAGCAGCAGCAGCAGCAGCAGCAGCTGCGAGCAGGCAACAGTCTGAGACCCATCATCCCTCAGAAGACTATTCTTCTACGGTGTCTCCTTTCGTATCGCAGGCGGGGGCCCCCACGTCTCAAGCCGGCATACAACCCCCAAGCTACCTAGACCATCCTCCGCCTCCGCCGGAGCTGCAGCAGCAGCAGCAGGAGGAGGATAAGGAGGAATTTGAGCTTAAGGAGGAGTCTCAGGGCCACTTCCCTGTGCCTCCTCAACAAGCCGCAGATGAACAAGAGGACAGTAATAGTGATTCATCAACCCACTGGCCACCCCCTCCTGCAGATTCCCCTCTACCCGCAGACAGCGCAGCTACAGGTGAAGGCAACATTTTTACATTCCCCCCCCCACCACCGGGTATGCTTCAGGCCGCCGACGATTCAGGGGCCTCCGGAGGGGCTCCCGAACCCTCAGGGGAGTCCGGAGGGGCCCCCGATGCCTCGGGGGCCCCTGGTGTCCCCGAGGCATCAGAGGAGTCTGGAGGGGCCCCCGAGGCCTCAGAGGAGTCTGGATGGGCCCCCGAGGCCTCAGAGGAGTCTGGATGGGCCCCCGAGGCCTCAGAGGAATCTGGATGGGCCGCCGAGGCCTCAGAGGAGTCTGGACGGGCCCCCGATGCCGATGAGGCGGGGGCCCCCGATGCAGAGGAGGCCCCAGGGTTATCCGGAGGGGCCTCCGATACACCGGAGCCAACCGACACCAAGCAGGCCCCACAGGAGGAGGCTCCTGGGGTCCCCGAGCCCCCCCCCGCTCCTTTACCGCCTCCTCCATCTGGCCCCACACGCGCAGATGAGGATTCTATGGAGTCACTGAGGGGTCCCCCACCTGCAGAAGACAGCCCCTTGCACAGCGAGAAGGGGGGCACTCAACTAGGAGAAGGGACTTCAATGCCCGCATCGAGGGGCCCTAAGCCAGCAATGAAGGGCCCTAAGCCGCAGCTGCCACCCCCAAGCACTGGGGGGCCCCAGATGAAGCCCCCCTCTCCCCAGCTATCCCAGCCTTCTGTTGGTATGCAAGCAGCAGAGGAAGAGAGCGAAGAAGAAGACATATCCAATGAAACCAGTGCGGCGCATGCAAAAGACCTCTCCAGCGCCGAAGGACAATCGGGGGCCCCTACAGCCACAGAGTCGGGGGTCCTTACATCTTCAGAGGGGGGGGGCCCCCAAGCTCCAGAGTCGGGGGCCCCTCATGTTCCAGAGTCTAGGGGCCCCACATCTTTACAGTCAAATGGCCCCCCAGCTACAGAAACGGAGGTCCCTCCAATTCCAGAGTCCGAGGGCCCCCCATCTTTAGAGCGGGGGGCCCCCGCAGCTCCAGAGTCCGAGGGCCCCCCAGTTCCAGAGTCTGGGGGACCGGCCCCTACACCTCAACAGTCGCGGGGCCCCGGATCTGCAGAGTCGGGGGCCCCTCCAGCTCCAGAGTTGCCGGGCCCCCCAGCTCCACAGTCGGGGGCCCCTACAGCTCAAAAGCCACTGGGCACCCAATTTGCACAGTCGGGGGCCCCTCCACATCCAGAGTGGGGGGGCCCACCACCTTCAGAGTGGGGGGCCCCTCCAGCTCCAGAGTTGCCGGGCCCCCCAACTTCAGACGTGGGGGCCCCTCCAAATCTAAGATGGCAGGACCCTTCATATCCAAACTGGCAGGGCTCTGCAGGTTCAAATTGGGAGGGCCCCCAATATCCAGACTGGGAGGTCCCCCAATCTTCACAGTGGGGGGCCCCTCCATCTTCAGAGTGGGGGGCCCCTCCAGCTGCAGAGTGGGGGGCACCTCCTCTGCAGGCAGGGGTCCAAGCTTATCCTCAGATGGGGGGCCCCTCTCGTCCTCAGATGGGGGGCCCCCCTCGTCCTCAGATGGGCCCCCCTCGTCCTCAGATGGGAGGTCCCCCCCATCCTCAGATGGGGGCCCCCCCTCCTGGTCAGAGGGGGGTCCCGCCTCACCCTCAAATGGGCCCCGATGCTTATACGGCACCCACGCCAAATCCTCCGATGGGGGCCCCCCCTCGTTCTCAGGTAGGGGCCACCCATCAAGGAACCCGCCCTCATCAAATGGGGCCCCCGCGTCACCCTCAGATGGGGGCCCCTCCCCCTCATGGGGGGGCTTATCCACAGATGGGGGGCCCCCAACGTCCTCAGAGGCCTCCCCCACCTGGTTATCAGACGGGGGGCCCCTCGCTCCCCCAGGGGGTGTCCCCTCCTTATCCTCAGGGGGGGGCCCGCCCTCATCCTCAGATGGGTGTCTCGGCTTCTCTTCAAGGGGGGGCTTATCCTCATGCTCAGATGGGGGCACCCCCTCGTTCTCAGATGGGGGCCTCCCAGCGTCCTCAGAGGCCTCCCCCACCTGGTTATCAGATGGGGGGCCCCCCTCCTCAAGGGGGGGCTCTCCCTCATCCTCATTCTCAAACGGGGGCCCCCGCTCATCATCAAATGGGGGCCGCGCCTCACCCTCATGGGGGGGCTTATCCTCAGATGGGGGGCCCCCAACGTCCTCAGAGGCCTCCCCCACCTGGTTATCAGACGGGGGGCCCCTCGCTTCCTCAGGGGGGGTCCCCTCCCTATCCTCAGGGGGGGGGCCGCCCTCATCCTCAGATGGGGGTCCAACCTCATCCAACAGGGGCCGCCAGCCATCCTCATGGGGGGAGCCCCCATCGCCCTCAAGGGGGGTCCCCCCCTCGATCTCAGATGCGGGCCCCCCATCAACCTCAAATGGGGGCCCCTGTTCACCCTCAGATGGGTGTTCCCCCTCAGGCGGGGGCCCCTGGGCATCCTCATTGGGGGGCAGAGGCTCCTCATCCTCAGGCTGGGGCCCCTGCGCATTCTCAGGGACAGCTTCCCCCTCATCATCAGGGGGGGGCCCGTCCTCAGCAACAGAAACGCGGGGGCCCCGCGCGTCCTCAGGCGGGGGCCCCTCCGTATCCTCAGGCAGAGGGTTTCCCTCATCCTCAGGGTGGGTCATTCCCACATCATCAAGGGGGGGCTCTTCGTCAGCCGCAGCAACCCCGGGGCCCCGGGCCTCTTCAGGCTGGGGCCGCTTCTTATCCTCAGGGGGGGGGCCATCCTTCTCGTCATCCGCATTCGGGGGCCCCCCTTCAAGGTCAGCAGTGGGGTGCTACTCTGCCTCCTCATCAAGGGGCCTTTCCATCTGTCGAGGGCCCCCCTGGTGCACCAGCAGGTATGCCGCTTCCTACGGCGGGTATGGGGGCCCCCAGGGCTCGACCTTCTCCTGTGCCTCTTCCTGGGGACCCCTCGTCTGAAGCATCCCGGGGGCCTCGCCAGCCACCCCCTCGGCCAGTGGGGCCCTCTTACCCTGGGGGGCCCCCGCACATTGGTGAAGGGGGACCCAGTCCCCAAGCCCCGCAACGGCGGCCGCAGCAAAGCGCTGGAGCATCAGGCACTCATTTCCCTCCCGGGTCTGCTCCTCCTCCTACTCCTACTTCTCCTGCTCCTCCTGCTACTCCTACTTCTCCTTCTTCTGAAGGTCAGGACGGCCTGGTGTCTCCCCAAGCTGACAAAAGTAACCTTAGAAAATGGCTAAAGAAGACAGGGGAACAGATAAAGAACAAATGCAGGAAAAAGAAGAAGGAGCAAGAAGAGGAGGATGAGTGGTAGCAGCTGCGCGCATAGATACAACCATCACGCTGCAGCAGGAGCTGCTGCTGCAGCAGCTGAAACAGCAACAGCGCCAGGAACAGTAACAGCAGCAGAAACAGCAATGCCTTCAGAAACAGCAACGCCAGCAACAGCAACAGCAGCAACAGCAACAGCAACAGCAGCAACAGCAACACCAGCTGATGCAAGAACAGGGGATGCTGGTGCAGCAACAGCAGCAGCACCTGGGGCAGCAGATTCTGCTGCTACATATCCAGCTGCTGCTGCCCCTTCGTTGTTATTCTTCTTGCTTGCTGGTTTGCTTGAAGGCTACCTACTGCTTTCTTCACTGCAAGTGAGGGCGAGCAGACACTGTGAGGTGTACGTGCAGCAGCGGCCCTTGTCTTGCCGTTGCTTGGATTTGAAGAGCTCCGTAGACAGCAGCAGCAGGAGCAGCAGCAGCAGCAGGTGCTGCTGCTGCTTGTGTTTGTTTGTTTGTGCGGCGGAAGGTTTGCTAAACCGCATATGAAAGCCTCAGATGCCTTTCTTTTCTGCTGCCTGCTCGGGCCTTTCTCCGTAGACATTGCGCGGTGTACGCATACTTTGTAGTGCGTGTGGGGCCGCGTTTTTATTGGGGATCGACGCTTTGCGGTGTACATTCACCTCGGAAAGCAGTCTTATGCTGGATCTGGGGTGTGCGTACACCTGAGTAGGCAGGTGCAGGTACGGGGTGCGGTGTACGCACACCTTAAGATTGAGGTGTACGTACACCGGCGCATCCAGGATGTTCTCGTTTGTTGGAGAGGGTCCTCAGGTGTTTTATTTTTTGTTCTGAGCGTTGTTCTCTTCGCCCTTTATTGGATTATTGAATTCTTACTTGTGTTGCTTGCAGCATAGAAGAGGAGGCGTCTGGGAGTTTACCTCCTTCCCTGTTTTATTCTTTTCATCTCTACAACTCTTGCACAGCTGCGTGGGGCTGAGTCTTTTCAAGCCAAGCAGCAAACTACAATAAGGTAGACAAAACCCAAGGGTTTACTAGTAGTTAATAGTTAGGGCTTAGTAGTACGGCTTTCTAAGGTTTAGGGTTTAGGCTTTAGGGTGTCTATTCACCGCAGAATGCAAAAGGGTTCGAGGCTCCCTCCGCAATAGGGGGGTCTTGTTACAACTCTCTAAGCTCTCCCTCTGTCTATTTGGGGGGTTTAGGGTTTACGGCAACATCAGTACATCTGGTGTGCTCAATTCGTGCATTACCTCCTTCTCTATATGACGGGAGAGAGTAAAGAAGACATTTCCGGTGCTGGCTAGCTCCGGCTAGCATGGCTAGCTGCAGGGACCTACGGCTAGCCATGCTAGCACCGCGCTAGGGCCCCTCACCGTTGACTAGCTGCAGCTGGGTGCCTATGGACGAGGAAGCATTTTATTTGAGTCTGTTAGCCTTTCTTTATGGGCTACATTTGTGCTCGTTGCCTTTGTAGCTTTGGAAGGTTCCAAGTAGCAGATCGCGCTGTCTTCTGGCTTTTGGGGTGTACGGGCACCTCTGCTGTTCTGTTTTTACTTCAACGTGCTGTTAACTTGCATATTATTGTCAATTTTTACTTTTTTAAGAGTCAAAGCGGATTCTTTCAGGTTTCTTTTCTGCAAAATCATAGAGAAAACACCAACAATGCTGCAACCTACTGGGGGCTGCATGCAATACCGGGCCAGCGTGACTATTGATTGAGTGCAGGAAAGCAGCGCTAATTGAGTTTATAAATTCTCTTTAGAGAGAATTAAAGATATTCCTTTCGAATTTATTCGTCTTTATTCTCTTCTATGTGCTAAGCCGCCTCCTTTGCAGCCATTCATCTCAGGTGTACATACACCTGAATATGTGCTGCGGCCTGCACTGCGCGTTCATTTGCTTTGGGGGCTTCTGAAGAGGAAATAAAAACAAAATATATATCAAAAGGTTTTCCTTTTTTGCATCAGAGGCTGTTTACGTTTATTCTTTCTTCAGGAATCCCCTTGGGGGCCTCCTTCTTCTGTTGACTGGTGAATCTTTTCTTCCTTGTGTTGTAGCTCTTTTGTGCATCTTTGCTTCCTTCTCCTCTGCCTCTCCCCCCAAATCTCTGAGGGGGTTTCCTTAGTGTTGGTTCTTTCTTCGGGTTCGCGAGCATCTGCGGCTGCTGCTGCGGCTGCTTCTGCTGCTGCTGCTGCTGCTGCTGCTGCTGCTGTACGCACACCCCAATCAATAGCGGCGTCGCATGATGCGCAAGAAAGAAAACGGCAGCGAATGGAGACAGGTCAGGAACCTCGAGTCCCTCGAGACAGAAAATGATTCTTATATTGAGGACTTAGAGGCGAGAGTGCAGGGCCTTAAGGAGGTATAGCAGAACCCTTATAAGCTGCTGTTGCTGCTGCTCGTGCTTACACTTCTGTTTCGGATGCTTCTGCTGCTGCGCCTGTTTTTCCTGCTGCTGTTTCTGTCTGTGGTGCTGTATCTGGTGGTGCTGTTGTGCTGCTGCCGGTGGTGGTGCTGCTGCTGTTGCTGCTGTTGTTGGTGCTGTTGTCTCTGACGCGGTCGCTTCTGCTTTTGCTATTGTGTGGGCACGAAGGGGATTTCCGTTGCTGTTGCTGCTGCTGCTTTTGATACGGACGAGGTGCTGCCGCTGTTTCGCTGCATGTGCTCTGAGTACTGCATGCACTGTATCTGTTTGCTGCAGCTGCTGCTGCTGCCGCTGCTGGGTAGCTCGCTATAGAGATATGATTAGGGTTTGTTTAGGCTTTGCATGCGGGTGCTGCAGCTCAGTCTGGCAATGAGGGAGGAGGTGAAGGCCTCAAACAGTCTCCTAGGCTCGATGGTGAGCAGCAGCAAGTGCAGCGGCAGCAAATGCAGCAGCAGCAGCAGTAGCAGCAGCAGTTTCGGCTGCCAGGCTGTCAGGAGACAGAAGGAAGCGCGGGCCACCGAAAGCTCCGGTGTACTTTTATTGTAGATGCAGGGGAAATGGCAGCAGCACGGTTTAGGGTTTAGTGTTTAGGGTTTAGGGTTTAGGGTTTAGGGTTTGTTGGCTGCTGCAGATGGGGCGGTTAGAAGGAGTTCGGATGTCTGTGCGGAACTCGGTGCGACGCATGGACCAAATGTTTAAGTCAGGAGTGAGTTTTAGGGTTTAGGGTTTAGGGATTGGGGTTTAGGGTTTTGGTGTAGACCTAGGGTCTAGGGCCTAGGGTTTATGGCCTAGGGTTTATGGCTTAGGGGTCGGTGCTTGCTTCTAGGGTTTAGGGTTTAGGGTTTACTCTAGCCTGTTTAGAGTTGTCATCATCTCGTGAAGCGGCTCTTTCTGTGCAAGCGCACTTGCTTTTAGGGTTTAGGGTTTAGGGTTAAGGTTTAGGGTTTAGGATTTAGGGTTTGGGGTGTTTTTGCAGGGAGGATGGCACATGCTGCACTTGGCAGCGTTTGTTTTGTTCATCTTCTTGATCTTCTACTTCTTCTTCGCCAAGTAAACCACCACTGTTTAGTGTTTAGGGTTTAGGGTTTATGCGTGCCTACGGCGCCCACTGTACCCTAACTTGCGGTGTCTATACACCGAGCAGGGAAGAGATGCTGCTTTACTCATTGAGGTTCTGTTCTAAGATTGAGGGTTTGGATTTTAGGGTTTAGGGTTTTAGGGTTAGGGTTTAAGGGTTTAGGGTTTAGGGTTTGGGGTGTATGCGGAGGGTGGCGATGCTGCTTCTCTAGCGGCTGCCGCAGCGTTTGTTGTTCGCCTGTAATTTTCTCATTTTCTTTTTTTAAAGTAAATAGGCTTATTTTTTGTTTAGAGTTTAGGGTAGAACGTGCGTAAACACCACAACTGCCTTCAAAAGAAGCAGCGGTGTACGTACACCGCAACAATTAGTGCTAGATACTGCGTATACACCGCAACGATACCCAATAAATCTGCGGTGTACGTACACCTCAGATTGTGCTTAGGGTAGTCCACACGTTTTTGTGGTGTATATAAATAAAGGAGCCGCAGGGCCGAGGCAAACTGCTGCACGTACACCCCAACTGCAACTCAGGTGGGACTTAGGGCCTAGGGTTTAGGGTTTAGCTAGGGTTTACCGTTTAGGGCCGGCCCAGAGGCTAGGAGCAAGAGAGCGTATAGGACTAAAGGGTTCAGCGCGGTGTACATACACCAGAAGTATTCATTTTCTCTAGCGAAGGAGAAACATGAAAAAGAAGCAAAGAAGAAGATTGAGGGTGTGGGGCCCCGCGGGGGACAGTTACCCCTGTCCCGGGGGTGTACATACACCTCAGCCATTCATCATCGGGTTGTCTTCTACTTTTAGGGTTTATCTACATACCTGTTGGGGCCAGCCACAACGACTCCTTCTTCTTTGCTGTGCAAACTCTCAGTAATAACACCGTGGGGCTGCTCTGTTAACGAAATACCTCTAGCTGTTCACAAATTCCTCTTACCTAGGATTTAGGGTTTAGAGGTTAGGGTTTAGGGTCTAGGGTTTAGGGTTTAGGGTTTGGGGTTTAGGGTTTAGGGTTTACGGTTTCGGTGACTGCACACTGGTCACGGGCTGAGACCGAGGTAAATTGTGCTAAACTCTGCGGCTGCCAGTTGATTAAAATATTGACGACTGTACAAAAAATAAAAATTTAGTGCTGCTTGTATGCTGCTGCTGCTGCTGTTGCTGCTGCTGCTGCTGCTGCTGCTACTGTAGGGCGAGCGGTCGACGGGAACTCAGTGGACCGTCACAGCCTCAGCTTGTTGAGGTGTACATACACCTCAATATGAATGAATTTTAATAATGCAGAAATAGCAGAGGAGGTATCTCTTTATTTGCTGTGCTATTAGGGTTTTATATTCCTTTTCCTGAGGCGTGTTGCTGCTGCTGCTGCGGTCGCTGCTGCTGCTGTGGTTCTGCTATGTCTCTCCTGTATAGACTACACCCCGCCGCAGCAACAGCAACTCCAGCAACAGCAGCAGCAGCAACAGTAACAGCAGCAACGGGAACAGGTAGCGGAAATCTTGCTGCTGCTGCAGTTGCTGCTAAGGCCTCAAAGGCCACGAAGATGTACTTCGCGCAGCAGCAGCAGCAGCAGCAGCAGCAGCAGCAGCATCGGGAGCAGCAGCATCGGGAGCAGCAACTGCTGCCCTAGTCCTAGCTGCCGAGGCAGAAGCAACGATCGCTGCGGTCGTAATATAACAGGTAGTGCCCGCAGCAGCAGCAGCAGCAGCAGCTGCTGCTGCTGCAGCTGCTGCAGCAGGAGCTGCAGCAACAGCTGCAGCACGGCCAGCAGCAGGCTCGCCGCCATAATATTGGCAGCAACAGCAGCAACCCTTGTTGCTGCTGTAACAGCAGCAACAGCCGTTGCGACAGCAGCAGCTGCTGCAGTAGGAGCAAGCGCAGCAGCAGCAACTGCAGCCGGAGCGACTGCAGCGGCAGCATTCTTTTCAGAGGTCAGCAGCAGTAACTGCAGCAAAGATGGCAGCAGTTGCTGCTGCGCTGCTGCAGCCGCTGCAGCAGCAAGTGGTTGGGGCGATATTGAAAGCCCTCCGAGAAAGAATAGGATATTTTCTGGTCTCAGTAGACACACAGGCAAAGATGGGTGCGAAGCTCTAAACCCTAAACCCTAAACCCTAAACCCTAGTGGTGGCCTGCCCTGTAACCGCTGTCCTTTGCAGTGATCGATCGCTCTAAACCCTAGAGATGCACGACCCTGAGTGCTGCTGACGCGCAAACCCTAAATCCTAAACCCTAAACCCTAAACCCTAAACCCTAAACCCTATGCACGTGTGTTATGCCGTTGCAGAGGGTTTGCTGGACCGCTTGCATTTAGAAAACGTCGAAGTTGATGCTGCTCACTTGACGGAGGAGTTCCGCAGCCGCCAGGCAAACCCTAAACCCTAAACCCTAAACCCTAAACCCTAGACGGTTTGCATCTTTATTAAACCCTTCTTGAGCGGAGAGGCCCTTTCTATCACTCCCTGGCGGCGCACACGTGGCGTGCCCCCTCCCCTGACTGCATGTGTTGTTCTTTTCGAGTGCTAGGGTTTAGGGTTTAGGGTTTAGGGTTTAGGGTTTGTGTGCAGATTCCTCTAGAGGTAACTGGAGGTGGGTTTGCCTTAGTCGATGCCCGTCTTTACTTAACCCACGCCCGCCTTGATATAATTGCAGAGGGTTGCGATCTGCACTTAGCACCGAGAAACTTCTCTGATGCCTCTGTAAACCCTAAACCCTAAACCCTTAACCCTAAACCCTAAACCCTAAATCCTACGCCGTAGACACGCGGCATGTAGGCACTCTTTTGCGCCAGCAATAGCATGCACCCGGGATGCAAACCCTAAACCCTAAACCCTAAAAAAACCCAAAAAAAAAAAGCTAAACACATGAAACCCAGCATATATATTTTGGCCATGAGGGAAAGAGTACTGCGTCCTTGGACGCCTGAGGGTTTAGGGCTTAGGATTTAGGGTTTAGGGTTTAGGGTTTGGGGTCTGCAGAACCTTTGTTGGAGCGCCGCAGGAAGAGAACCTTGCTCAAGTAGCAGAACGGCAACTTCAGCAGGTTCGGGATGCCAAACCCTAAACCCTAAACCCCACACCAAAAACCCTAAACCCTAAACCCTTAACCTTGCCTCCTTGTTTGGGTGGCATTACCGCTATTGCAGGTGTAAGAATTGAGGGTTTATTGCGTAGAGTTGTGAGCAGCAGCGCGCCTGTGGAGAGGACGCAGATCATGCGTTTAGGGTTTAGGGTTTAGGGTTTAGGGTTTAGGGTTTGCGGCGCAGGTGGACGAGCACATCCATCATTTCTTTTTGTTGCAGAAGCAACAAGAAGTAGAGTTAAGGCGGCAGCGCCTCCATCGTCTTTTAAAAGAAGGCCCTAAAGAAGAAGGAGCAAGAAGAGAGTTTGCTGCTGAGACCAAAGAAGTGCTGCAGCAGCAACAAGCAGTAAACCCTAAACCCTAAATTCTAAACCCTAAACCCTATACCTTCACCGTCACACACCCACCGGCCACATAGATACTGAGGCCTTCGAAGCAGGAACCTACAAACCCTAAACCCTAAAGCGAAGCTTTCACTTGAGATGCCGAAATGCGCTCAGGGTTTAGGGTTTAAGGTTTAGGGTTTGTGGTTTTGCAGGTGTCGTCAGCGGAAGAAACGCCCTTGCATTCCATGCTAGAGTGGCTTCTCCGGTACTTACCGAACGTCAACATACGGTGAATGAGGGTTTAGGGTTTAGGGTTTAGGGTTTAGGGCTTAGGAGGGCCAGGTTGTTACTTTTCCGGCTTAGTTTGTGAGCGCCCTAGTGTTCCGCTTGAAGCTGCCTTGTGGCTCTCCTCTGCATAAAGAGATAATAGGGTTTTAAAAGCTAGGGTTTAGGGTTTAGGGTTTAGGGTTTGGGTGCAGGCTTGAAGACGTGAAGATTTCTTTAGATGACTCCTCGGGTTTCTTTGGGCCCCCTGCAAAGGCAGTATTGGGTATCAAGCGAATTATTTTTAAGGCAAGGGAGCAGCTTGTCTCTAAACCCTAAACCCTAAACCCTTGTCTTAAGCTTCATAAACCCTAACCCATAAACCCTAAACCCTTTATGGACTCCTAAGGAGTGCCCCCACTAAAACAGGAATCAAGATGATGACGGCGAACCTGCCAGCATATGCTTTTCAGGGTCGCTAGGGTTTAGGGTTTAGGGTTTAGGGTTTAGGGTTTGTTTGGTGTTGCAGCCATCTGCTTCGAAGTCGCCATGGGGGTTTAGTTGGGGCGGCTCTCCGCCCGTCTTTTTGGGGCCGCAGCTTTCAGAGCCGCAGGTAGATGAAGCACTTGCTGTTGATGTCTCTATACGTCAGCTGAGGCTGTCCCTCTGCAGCAGCAGCAGCAGCAGCAGCAGGAGCAGCAAGAAGGGAGGCAGCAACGAGAGGGACGCGGTGTGGGTCGATGTGCTCCAGACAGAGGAGCTGCAGCTGCATCTGTTTGTGGAGCGCGAGGCTAACAGCAGCAGCAGCAACAGCAGCAACAGCAGCAACAGCAGCAACAGCAGCAGCAACAGCAGCAACGAGCAGAAAGGGCCCCTTCGATGGCGCGCTTCTTTAAATGTTTTAGGCGAAGAAGAGGTGCAGCTAACGTTGGGTAATTTTGCTGCTTTTTATGCCTTCTGTCTCTACAACAAGCTCCTCCATATTCAGGATCTTAAACTCCTGAAGGCCTACAGACCGCCTGTAAACCCTAAACCCTAAGCCCTAAACCCTAAACCCTAGCTTCATCCCTTCACATGAGACTCAGGGCGAACTCCCACTGCGGCTGCTACGCTCAATTACACAGCCATTGTAGAGTGTCTAGGGTTTAGGGTTTAGGGTTTAGGGTAACGGATTCAGGGTGGCGTATGGCTGGGCTTGGGTATTCTAGGAGCCTTATTTACGCCTTGTTGTTGGGGTGTTTAGGGTTTGAGATTTAGGATTGTTTAGAGTTTAGGGTTTAGGAGTGTCTAGGGTTTAGGGTTTAGGGTTTAGGGTTTAGGGTTTTGAGGTTGTTTAGGGGCGGCCCACGAAATACCCGAGGGATTGGTGGCTGTACGCTAAGATGTACGCTCGGCTGCTTCAGCGAGAAGAAAAAGGAGAAGACAATTTCTTGCAGCAGACAGAAGAGCGAATGACGCACATGAAAAGGTAGGGTTTAGGGTTTAGGGTTTAGGGTATAGGGTTTGCGGGGGGAAGGTGTGCGTGACGCTGGTGCTTCTGGCTCAGTGGCTAAGGATTAGGGTTTAGGGTTTAGGGTTTAGCGTTTTTCCTTGCGCATCAATGTGCAGGTTCCTTCGCCTAGCAAAGGTGCTGCTGCTGCAGCATCGAGAGCAGCAGCAGCAGCAGCCACAAACGCAGCAGCAGCAGCAGCAGCAGCAACAACAACAACAGCAGCCGCTGCAGGGGAACGGATCGATCCCTCCCCTCATTGAATTGCTGAAGCCCGTGATGACCCGTTACACCCAACGCCAGCAGCAGCAGCAGCAGCAGCAGCAGCAGCAGCAGCGATGGCAGAGGAGACAAACAATAGGGCAGCAGGAAGCAAACGACATCTTTTTGCTGCTGCAGTTTGCTCGCCGCCAAGTGGAGGGAATATGCTTATGGATGCTGATAGCAGCAAAGGAGACCGAAGCAGCTCTGGAAGAGCTGCAGCAGCGAGGAGATACAGACCTGCAGCAGCAGCAGCAGCACGCGCGCAGGCTGCGGCAGCTGCGCCAGCAGCACGCGGTTCTGCAGCAGCAGCAGCAGCAATTCACCTCTCCCTCTGGGGCCCCCGTATTGAACGGGCTCCAACAGGAGCAGCAGCTGCTGGTGCTGCAGCAGCAGCAGCAGCTGCAGCTCGAGCTGCAGGCGAACGAGGATGAGCAGCAGCAGCTGCTGCAGCAGCTGCAGCAAATCATCAACCCTGCCGTCAGAGAGAAAGTCGTTTCTTTCTTCTGTACGCCTTCTTCCTTTTGCTGCCAAGCTCGTGCTGCAGCAGTAACACTAGAGCAAGGGAAGGAGGAGCTGCAGCAGCAGCTGCTGCTGCTACAGCGGGAGCGGGGCCTGGGGTGCAACAGCAGCAGCGGGAAGCTGCTTGAAGTGTACAGACAGCAGCAGCAAGCTGCTGCAGCAACCTGCCGTAAGGTTGAGAGCTACAGAGACACCTGGAGGCTCTCACGGCTTCGCATGCTGCTGTGGGCTGAGCTGCTAGCTGTCTACGAGCTTTCGTTTCCTGCTGCTGCTGCTGCTGCTGCTTCTGCTGCTCTGCTGAACCACACAGCCCTCGCGGAGCTGCTGCAGCAGCACAGAAGGAGACAGCTAGAGGAGACATTTAGAGATGGCATGCTACGCCCTAGCAGCGCCTTAGACCCAGTATTCATGCGAAAGGCTGCTCGCATTCCTGCTCCTGCTGCTGCTGCTGCGGGTGCTGGTGCTGGTGGTGCTGCTGCACCACCAGGCACGGCCGCAGAGCGAGCAGCAGCACCTGACAGTGCTGTTGCTGCGACTGCTGCTGCCGGTGCTGGAGGAATTCCAGCGGAAGCAGCTCAAGGTGCAGCAGCAGCAGGAAAGGTTGCTGCAACAGGAGGGTTGCGGGAGGAGCATCTGAAGCAGCCTCAGCAGCAACAGAACGTCTTAAGTGCTGCAGCAGCAGCAGCAGAAAAGATACCCGCGTTGCTGTTGGCCATAGGGAAAAGCTGCGACCTGCCTCTGCCTCGATACCTCCATAGGCGGAAGCTGGGGCTGCTGCTGCGCTCGGTGAAGCTGCGGCTCGCTCCTCTACTCATCCTAGACACCTGCCAGCAGCAGCAGCAGCAGCAGCAGCAGCAGTGGCTCTTGTTTGAGGCCCTGGATGCCGCAGTGGACCTGCAAACAATAAACGCGGCTTCACTCCTCTGCTGCCTTCGCTGCCTTCAGCTGCACCTCTGCAGCGGTCAGCTGCAGCTGCAGAGATGCAGCAGCAGCAGCAGCAACAGCAACGGCAGCAGCAGCAACCATAGCAGCAGCAGCAGCAGCAGCCACTCCGACTGGAGGTGCCAACTCGAGGAGCAGACACAAGTCCTGCTGCTGCGAATGGCCCACAACTCATCTGCTGCCAGCAGCAGTCGCCGCAGCAGCAGCGTTTGCTGCACTAGTGAGAGCGCAGCAGCGCAGCAGCAGCAACAGCAGCAGCAGCAGCAGCAGCTGGCAGTCCCGGTTGTCTTCGGCCCCGGGGGAAGCAGCAGCCACCCAAATGGGATCAAGCAGGAGCAGCACAGAAGAAGCACCAGCAGCAGCAACAGCAGCAGCAGCAGCAGCAGCAGCAACGGGCGAAAGCAGAGTATTTGGCAGAACGCGCTAGATGCTATAGGAATTGCTGCAAGTGCAGCAGCAGCAGCATCTTCTGCTGCTGCTGCTGCTGCTTCCGATACAGAGCCAGGGGCGACGAGATCCCGCAGAAGCTCGCTTGTAGAAGACCTTGCCAGCAGCGGCAGCAGCAGCAGCAACAGCAGCAGCAGCAGCAACAGCAGACTGGGAGCAGCCAAGGCTTCATTTCAAGAATCCGTGAAGACAGGAGTGCTGCTGCAGCAGCAGTTGCAACGGCAGCTATCGTTTGTGTTGATACGCCTGACGGCGCTGCCGCTGCTGCAGCATCAGCAGCAGCACCAACAGCACAGTCTGCTGCTGCAGCAGCAGCTGCAGAATCCCTTGCTGCGCATAGGCGTCCCCCTGTATTTGCAGGCGACTGCAAAGCTGCAGCACATTTGGGGCCGCGTGAAGACGGGCGAGGTGCAGCAGCTGCAGCAGCTGCTGCAGCAGCTGCTGCTGACGCTCTCTGCTGCTGCTCTCGCTGGAGGAAGAGCAGCAAGCAGTACTTCTTATGCACAGTAAGCCGAACTCTACTCTTTATGCTGAGGCACTTAAAGCTGCAGCACACAACAGTTGCGCTCTCCTTAGATACGGCAGCTCATATAAGGGAGTGGGTGCGCCTGCTGCTGCTGCTGCTGCTGCTCTTTGTGTTGCTGCTGTTGCTATTGTTGTTGCTGTTGGTATTGTTGCTGCCGTTTCTATTGTTGTTGCTGTTGCTGCTGCTGCTGCTGCGCTGCAGCAACAAAGACCCTGTGGCGTTCTTCGCAAGGCTACTTACCGCCTACAGGCGGCACAACGAGCAGCTGCAGCAGCAACACATACAGGAGCAGCAGCAGCAGCAGCGTTCTTTGTCTGGCCTTCAGCAGCCGCAGCAACAGCAGCAACCGCAGCAGCAGCAGCAGCAGCACAAGGGAAGCAGCGACAGTCTCACGTCGGATGCTGCTGCTTCTGTTACGGCTCCACATGCTGTGGATTTGAGCTTCGTGACAGGTGCTTCACTGCTGCTGCTGCTGGTGTTGCTGCCGCAGTTGCTGCTGGTGTTGCTGCTACGGTGCTGCTGCTCCGGCTGCTGCTGGTGCGGATGCTCTGTTGCTGCAGCTGAGCCTGAAGCGGTACTTTTGCGCCTTCTCTGTTTGCTGCTGCTGTTGCTGCTGCAGATCGCCTTGCTGCAGCCTCTCAGGCAGCAGTTGCTAAGCAGCAAGCTGCGCACAACCTCCTACCGTCTGTCTTCCCTCCAGCGGGTTCAGCAGTAGCGCCTGCTGCAGCAGCACCTGCTGCTGCCTCTGCTGCTACTGCTGCTGCTGCTGCCGTTGCTCCCGAATGGGCCCACCTGCTCTCGCTAGTTGCTTTACGGCTTCGAGCTGTATTCCCTTCAGTGCAAATCTCCTTGCAGCAGCCGCTACCGCTGCAGCAGCAGCAGCAACAGCAGCAGCAGCAGCAGAGCAACAGCAGCAAATTAGAGAGCCCATACCAGCGTATCGTTATTTCAGGTGCACCTGAAGGCCCAGAAGGAAGCCGAACAGATGCAGCAGCCTCAGGGCCGTCTGCCGCAGCAGCAGCAGCAGCAGCAACAGCAGCAGCAGCAGCAGGAGGAACGCATTCTGTAGGAGAGGAGATCCTCAGCGTCGCGATAAGGGAGCAAGAGCTGGCGCTGTCGCTAAGCAGCAGCAGCAACAGCAGCAGCAGCACGAAGCAACCTGTTCTGAATCTGTCTCTTGAAGGTGTATGTACAGCTGCCTGCCACACCCCAGCCAGTTTGCTGCAGCAGCTGCCGCTGCTGCTACTGTCGTTAAGGACGCATTATCAGCAGCTCGATGCTTTACTGCTTCTGCTGCTGCCGCGCCAGTGGACCTCGGTCAGGCCTCCGGAGTTGCTGCTACAGGTGCAGCAGCAGCTGCAGCAGCAGCTGCAGCAGCAGCAGCAGGAGCTTCAGCAGGAAACGCAAGGAGCAATAAGCATACAAAAGGATTATGCAGCTTCACATGTCTCCTGGGTGGACGCGGTGTATGGATTAGTCAGAGAAGCTGCTAGGAAGCAGCAGTTGCTGCTGCAGCAGCAGCAACAGGAGGAACGGCAGCAGCAGCAGCAGCAGAAACAGCAGCAGCAGCAGCAACTGGAGGCCACGTCTAGCGACGAACTTGTGCTGCCTCTTTTCCGCGTTGCTTCAGAGGATTCACTTCCTAGCAAGAAAGGTGCTGCTGCTGCTGCTACTAATAATGCTGCTGCTGCTGCTGCTGTTCCTGCTGCCTGGATGCCCCCTTCTCTATCCGCTCGGCCTGCATTTCGTTGTGCGGCTGCTTCTGCTGCTTCTGCTGCGGGTGCATCTTCTGCTGCTGCTGCTCCTGCTGCTGTGCCTCCGTTGCCTCCGTCGAGGGCAGCAGCAGCAGCAGCAGAAGCCAGGGCAGCAGCAGCAGAAGCCAGGGCAGCAGCAGCAGCAACAACAGCAGCAGCAACAGCAACAGCATCAGCTGCTGCAGCAACTGCTGCCGCCGACGCAGCCGAAAGAAGCAAAGGTGCTGCTGCTGCTTCTGCTAGGCAGGCTGCTCACAAATCTGCTGCACCAAACGATGCTGCTGCTGCACCTGCTGCACCGACCGATACCACTGCTGCACCTGCTGCAGCACGCGGTGCTGCTACTGCTGCTGCACCTGCTGCAGCACTTGGTGCTGGTGCTGGTGCTGGTGCTGCACCTGCTGCAGCACGTGGTGCTGGTGCTGGTACTGCACCTGCTGCAGCACGCAGTGTTCCTGCTGCACCTGCAGCAGCACGCAGTGTTGCTGCTGCACCTGCTGCAGCAGTACCGCCTCTTAAATCTCCACCGATAAATATAAAGCCTGAAGGCGGTGCTGCATCTCGTGCTGCGCCTGGTGCTGCTGTTCATGGTGCAGCAGCAGCAGCAGCAGCAGCAGCGGCCGCGCATGAGCCCACAGCGTCTCAACCAGCAGATACGAGAGCAGCAAAATTTGGGGGGATATCGCAGCGGCAGCCTGTTGCAGGGCCAGCAGCAGGAACAGCAGGTGCAGCAGCACAGAAGCAGCAGCAACAGCAGCAGCAACAGCAGCAACAGCAGCAGCTACAGATGAAACTACGGCAGCAGCTGCCACAACTACAACGGAACTTCACACAGCCGCAGCACCAGCCGCCGCAGCAACAGCAGCAACAGCAGCCACAGCAGACACAGCAACAGCAGCAACAGCAGCCACAGCCGCCGCAGCAACAGCAGCCCCAGCAGCAGCCACAGCAGCAGCCGCAACAGCAGCAGCAGCAGCAGCAACCGCAGCAGCCTCCGTTGCTGTTCGCGCGTCGTGTGCCTGGCTTTTACTCTCGAAGGACTTCACTGACAGAGTCAGCCAGCGCTGAGGGCAAAGATGGAAGACAGCAGCAGGAGCAGCAGGAGCAGGAGCAAGAGCAGCAGGAGCAGCAGGAGCAGCAGCAGGAGCAGCAGCTCGAGCCTGAAACGCCGAGGACGAAACAGCGGGAGCAGCAGCAAGCAGCAGAAGAGTTGGTGTCTCTGGGCCTCAAAAGAGTTAAAGGAACAGACGCCTTCTCCCACTTCTACTGAATACAAACAAACACTGATGCTGGCATCTGCTGCTGCTGCTGCTGCTGCTGCAGCGCAGACGCCGGCATCTGTCTGCTGCTGCTGCAGCAACAGCACCAACAGCACTGACGCCGGCATCTGTTGCTGCTGCTGCAGCAACAGCACCAGCAGCGCTGACGCCGGCACCTGTTGCTGCTGCTGCAGCTACAGCAGCAGCAGAAGTTGCTGCTGCTGCTCATGCTGCGACTGCGTGGCTCGGCTGGTTTTCTCGCTAGCCAGAGATATGCGGCGAGGGTTTCGGGTTTATAATTAGGGATTAGGGTTTAGAAGGCCCTTCTGTACAGTTCAGTAATTCTGCCTTAGGGTTTAGGGTTTGGCTCTGGCGTAGGGTTTAGGGTTTAGGGTTCCAAGTGCACCGTGCCCCCATTTTGCCTGGGGTTTAGGGTTTAGGGTTTAGGGTTTAGGGTTTATTGATTGAGTGCAATGTAAGTAAGTAGAAACCCCAGTGCAGTTGCTGGCTAGGGTTTAGGGTTTTGTAGGGTTTAGGGTTTAGGGTTTTGTAGGGTTTCGGGTTTAGGGTTAAGACGGCTGACGCGAGCAGCAAGGCAGACAGCCACCGCCTTGCAGCAGCAGCAGCAGCAACAGCAACATCAGCAGCACCACCAGCAGCGGCAACAGCAGCAGCAACAGTAGCAGCAGCAACAGCAGCTCAAGCAACAGAATGGAAGAGCATCTGTGCTTCTGCAGCTTCAGACCACACAACCCCTGCCTGCTGCGGCTAGCTGTAGCAGGCTGTAGCTACCTGCAGCTAGCTGTAGCTACCTGGAGCTACCTGTCGCTACCTGCAGCTAGCTATGGCTAGCCGTAGCTAGCTATGGCTAGCTTGATCTACCTGTAGCTAGCTGTGACTAGCACTGGCTAGCTGTGGCTAGCTATGGCTAGCTACAGCTAGCTGTGCCGACGCCCCTTTGGAGGAGCGTCTGTAGGGCTCGAACGCGAGACTGCTGTCGAGACAGCAGCAGCAGCAGTAGCAGCAGCAGATGCTGCTGCTGCTGCGGCTCCTTAGCAACAACTGC